TTCAAAAGCTCAACATTTTTTTAAGGTCAAAGGAGACATCCCTAAATAGTAGTGAGGATTAGTTAACCAACATGTACGTGTACGTGTAGCAAGGGATTCCCCCCGGAAATTTGTGCATTACGTCATCAGTTTTGCTATTGACGAATTTAACTACACGTATTCACTAGCGAATAGATTGCCGAATACAAGCAAGTCCAATCTTGTAGTTTATATTTCTTTAACTGCTGTTTATTTTTAAAAGAGTTTGTGTTTTTCGAAAACCTGAAGATTTCATGGAAATACTGATATAAAGAACTAAACGTTTATAATTGAAAAATATAATTTTACAGAGTGTTAAATACCCAACATCTAATTTTTTTTCAAAACAGGCTTTAACGGATTAAAATTATAAAAGCTCTTTTCAATTTAAAAAAAAAATAAAAAAATATGCATATATTCATTTAAAATGATGATAGATTTTTTGAATTTAATATGTTTTCTATTAAAAAAAAGTTTATGACTTTTACATTTAAAACACTTACAAGTATGTACAGATTATACTTTGCTAAACAAGAAAAATAATATAAACGTGTACGTGTAATTCTAACTTGTAGTTTACACATACATGAACACGCACAAGTTGGCTTGCTAATCCTCTCTAATATATAATTTTTTTTTAATAACTTGTGATTTACATATTGCGTCTTTAATTAACAAGTTTCAGCTTTTTGTATATCTCTAAAACTACCGGTATCAGAATGTTGATAATTAATTTTTGAAAGGCACTTCGAAAACAATTTAGAAAGCATAAGATGAAATTAATTATAAATATTCATATATATTTTAAAGAATCAAATATGCAAAAAAATGTCTTGTGAAAGCTACAAACAGACAAATCCTATGTTTTTTTTTTTTCTTTTTTACTTTTTCCTTTGACCTTTTGACCTCAAAATCAATATGGATCCTCTTAAAGGATAAGAAGTTCTGATATTGAAAGAGCTTAAAGGAAACAAATTAATCATCTGGAAAAGTTATTTGCAATGTAATGTAGGAATTTTATATCTTGACCTTTGCCCTTTTGACCTCAGACTCAAAAGGGGACTATGTTAGGCTACAAGAAATTGTGAAATAGTTTATCGCTAAAGCTCAAAGGTTTTAAAACAAATCGCCCAGAAATGAAAGTGTTGTACAAAGGCCGAATGTATGAATTAATATTTACATCCAGTGGATATTATCTCCTTTATTTCTTAAGGAAACCATTGTCGTTCTTAGGTCGGTAAACGCATTTCTTGAACAATGACTCTTCAATGGAACATACAACGTACATTTCAATAATACAATATTTAACCTACTTAATCCTACTTAATCCTACTTTATATGATTATTTACATAGAAATAGATATAAACAATGTAATTTCTGTCTTTGTTTGTTAGTATTGGAATTAACGCTGCAGGTTTTACAGATCAAAAATCTATATATAACCCGCTTACAAGGGTTATGTATTTTTTCTGCAACAGCTTCAACATTAATTCTCATACTAACTAAGAGAGAAAGCATTTTATTGATTAAATCACCCTGTCCTTGACCTTTTATGAAAGTTTATTGGAAAAGCTCACAGGCTTTTTTGAGATATTGTCCGAAAACGAAAATATTACATACAGAAAGAATGGCATACAGATAGACGGACGGACGGACGTACCCCGAATTAATATCCCCCGCTTTAATTTAAAATGGGTCTCTCTCTCTCTCTCTCTCTCTCTCTCTCTCTCTCTCTCTCTCTCTCTATATATATATATATATATATATACAACTTACTCCACATATATTGAAATTCCGCTTATTTGGAAATAAAAATAAATCCCCAGGTTTAGCCTCTCATTTTCTTTGCATTAAAATAACGGTTATATTGAAATCGGCTATTTTGAAATATCGCTTATATTGAAGCCACTGATCGGTCCCTAGAGGTGATAATGAGTTGTTTTCATAACGGTTATATTGAAGTACTCCCTGGCGTTACGGTTGGTGACAGTAATTATGCCTGACTGACCAGTTGATATACAAAGGTGTGAATTAATAACTTCTCACCCTATGCGTTTTTATACTGCTTTTATAAAATAAAATTTATTTACCGTTGAATTCTTTGTTTTCACGTATATTGAGGCTAGATGCAATATGGGAACCCCACAGAAAAGAAAAACCTTATCTCTGGACATTAAATACGAACTAGTTATGGCTTTTGATAAGAAGACAAAGCCTAATTAAATCCGAAATAGCTAAGAATTTTGAAATTAATCCGAGTACACTTACGATGATATACAAGCAGTGTTCAGCAGTAATTGAAGCTTTGTGTCCGGTTATTTTTCTCCAAAACGTAAAAGAATGCGATCGGGAAATTAAAATGATCATGAATGCAACAAAGAAGAAACAAACAAAACTAACCGATTTTTTTTAAATTAAACTTTCAAGGACTAGTATTTCATGTACTCTGTTCACTGTAATAGATAAACGATGACCAACTTAATTTTTTCGGGTTTGTTCTTTATTTTAGATAGGGATTGAACTTTTAAAAATGGCGGCTTCACGTCAGTCGATCCATTTCGCTTATATTGAATTACGGATATATTGAAATAATTTGAATTGTCCCCTGAATTTCAATATATCCGGAGTAGGCTATATATATAAATATATATATATATATATATATATATATATATATATATATATATATATATATATATATATATATATATATATATATATATATATATATATATATATATATATATGGGGAAAGGGGCATGTTTGTCCATGTACCTACCAAATTTTCATATCTTCTTTGGGTGTTAACTCCTGTTCCTCGGGCATGTTTTTCTGAGATGTCTGATGCGCTGATCTCCTTTTACAGTATACATATAGTAATATACATGTAACTGCACCGGACAAAATCACAATGGACAAAGTTGTAGTTGCAATCACAGTAATCCTATTTTCATTGACGAAACAATATATATAGGATCTCCCATGATTTGTAGTTGGATATGATTTTTATTCAACGAGTTGTGTGTTTTTTTTATCCCTGAGCCTTGGAGAGGGGATAAGAACACACATCGAGTTGGATAAAAGTCATATCCAACTACAAATCATGGGAGATTCATTTCATCCCATGTTTAATACTTCACAACCAATGTTTTATACTGCTTTATATAGGACTCCACTTTATTTTACTTCATCACGCTAACGCAAAATCCATTGTGACGTCACAATCAATCGCGTTTCAAAAAATTTAAGGGGATGAAGGACACATGGTCACATGACTTTGTTAAACCACGTCATAGTCTCCATTTATATAAGTGCAAAACGTGTAAAGCATCAGTTCTTGTATAAATATTGACAATTTTTTTTTTCTCTAATTACCATCTTATATTAAAAAAAATAAAAAGTTTAACATTGTTGTAAACATTAACAAATTTTGAAAAAAAGATTGATCCACTCCTCTGTTTCTTTGATCTGCGCGTCCAACAAGTCGGTGACGTCATACACGATCTGCTAGTACAGCAAGATCATACTCGGTGAATACAAGGGCAGTATTATTATGTAAAAATAGATCATAATCAGTATATGATGAAGTATTTTGAGAAACGGGGAACACAAAAATTATTTTTGCATGGCTGATGACGGAAATCTTATGTAGGTATATCTTATTTCGCTTATTTAGCTTACGTGTGACGTCATAGTTGTTTTTTTCCCGTACTCGAGAAATGTAAACATGACAAGTTTTTGTCCTGCTTATGTCGTCTTTAACGATGTCCTTTGCGATATTGAGGTCAGCTTCACCATTCCAATTTTTTACAGTTAATCAATAACTTAAAGGACTTGCATTTCACCGTAAATTTAAAAATATTGAATGATAGGATTTTTAGTAAATTACGTTTTTTGTTGTTTAAGTTGTCTTAAAAAGTTCGTAATTTTCCCTATCCAGATGCAGTGTGATAGATGAAACTTGCCTTTTCGAATTTTAAACCCAGTTCATACTCTGAAATATTTTAAAAGATACATGTTCACTTACATATTGTTTTTTTATATGCTTTAAAAATCCAAATATGGACAGAGTAATGAGCCCGGAAACATGGAGAACTAAAACTCCACTTAGATACTGTAGGGCATAATATCTCTAAAATAAGGCCAGAAACCTAATGATAAAACTGCTTTAAGATATGTGGGACATACTTAATAAGAAATATACAAAATATAAAAAAAAAAATTGAATGACAAGTATTTTTTCAGCTAAAGGTCCTTCTTCCCCTTAAAACAATAACCGATTTATTTACCGACTCCACAAAAAATAGAGATATATGAATAGCAAAGTTTAAACTCACTTTAACTACAGAAACGTGAGGTTATCCAAGTTCAAAATTGTTGGAAATTTTAATTTGAACGTACATAACACATATCATGCGTATTCACACACAATTTCGTATTAATATCTTTTTAGTTCAGATACATGTACGCCATGTATAGCTTTAAGTTTTGATCAGATTGGGACAAACATGAACTCCATGCATAGCTTTAAGTTTTGATCAGTTTGGGACAAAGTGCATTTCATGATGATATCATGATAATATCTTTTTAAATATATACACATACTTACCTATAATTTCTTACTCCTTCTTGTGTTTGTATATGCAGAGTTTAACAATAAAGGAGATAGTAAAGCATACATGTACAAACTTGATAACAGAATATGCATTAGTCATAAGAGAACAATAGTGTTTACCACACATGAATGTGATAAACTCAATATTGATCGTTTATTGATATTGCCCGGGATGATTTGTCAAGTATAAATTACTAAGTTCTGTAAATTTTGAACAATTAAAAGGTTCTTGAAATATTTACCCCAAAAGATGATTTTTTTGGTTGCTTTGATTCAGGTTATTGCTTATTTTACTTCATTAGCAAAGTAACAATTGCTTGATTTCTTCGGCATGTGTGAAAAAGAATAATTATAGAATTTGTTTTGTCACCTTTGTGCATTTGATGTCGGTGCAGCGGTTGTTACACTATCGTTGAAATAAATTGACCGGATTGTTGACTGCATATCATCCAGTAAAATATTCATGTAACACTCCTTGTCTAAAATGAAAAAAAGTTGCGTGTTTACAACATTGCAGTGCATGCTTTTTCAGTAGATTCGTAGTACATATATAAAGTATTATTTATATACTCTTCTCTTCCAGATTAGTCAAGTCACTATAACATTCTCTCTTTCACTCATCTCTCTCATATATTACATTTGTATGCTTCTGTCGACGTATACAAAAACGGACAGCTTGTGCATATAACACCACTTCTGTAATGTTCTTGAATAAACTCGCCTCCCTTGTTAAACTCTGCACAAACAGCACCTAATGAAAAAAAGATCAGATTCTGAGTCATTTACAACTTTTTTATGACAATTTTCGAGGACATGAGATCGAGTGAAAGAATTACATATAGATCAGAATGAAGTTTACTCCCCCCTTCTCTCTCTCACTTTCTCTCTTTTACAATAGTCATAATGTTAAATTACTTTTGCAATATAAATCCAATAATTCTTTCACACTTATTTTTGGATTCAATAGGAACTTCTTGAATATCATTTAATACAGAGAAAGCATCTTTAATTAATCTTAATCAAAACAAAGCTTGAATCAAAAAAAGTACCTTACATATATACTCGTATACTCTTGTTTCTAAAAGTAAAATTTCATACATGCACAACACTTTTTCCTCCTTTGCAATGAAATTGTTTGGTCCTTAGAATTTTTTTTTTGTCTCGAGCTAAATCTGAAATAAATTCTCGCCTTTACCTATAATGTTAGTTTCCGGGGCACAAACTTCCACAGACCGGTTTCCCCATTCATTAAGAACACAGTGATATTTAAAGTTTGTTTTTTCTGTGCAGGTTTGATCCAATTTCGCACATTTGAGTTCATTTACTCTTTGTTCCAAGGTTATTTTATTATGTGGACAGGATATTCCAGTTTTCACTGTCTTTAATGATTCTGCACATGAGTGTCTCTAAAAAAATAGATTAAAATAATTATGTTTTTTTTTTTTTTTTTTTTTTTTTTTTAATTTCCTATACTTTAAGGATAAATAACACAAACTTTTTTCCATAAATCAGCAATATTTCTCACAGATTTATATTCAATAAAGGTAACCAGAATAATATTTGCCAGGTAGAATGGACGAATTTGTAAGATTTTGTCACAATGTTAAAAAGGTGTACAAAATTTTGTATAGAATTACACAGAAAACAATAAAAAGTCGCATATCTTAATACCAAGGAAAACTTACGATTTCGTTATATTTTAGGGATTTACTATTTATGTCACTTCTTATCAAAATCAGTCAAAAAATAACCATGCATTAAATATTTTGTTTGTGTTATGTATTTTTGAGGTTACATATAGTGTATATATATCGATAGAGTTTAAAAATTCTACGATTACATGAAATAGAGTGAGCTCTCTTTGATTATGCCCACAGATGTTTTCGTTGTATGGAGATTCTTCGAAAAAGCATAGTTGTAAATTTGCATGTACATTATAAGGTCGTTAAGTAGCTTCTGAGCTCATTCACTCACAGTGAATATGCAAATCTCTCATTCTGTGTGTGTGTGTGTGTGTGTGTGTGAGAGAGAGAGAGGGTTGGCCGTATATCCTTCTCTATTGTTTCATTATGATTTAGCATCTCCTTACTTAAATACAACGTACTTTTAGAAATGAAATGAAACATTTAATTATCAACATTAATAAAATATTTTATACATTAAGGAAATTCATATCATATTTAATATACTTTGCATATTCAATATAAGAACAACACCAACCAAAAAAAAAATATATATATATATATATATATATAATAGTAAAAATAATGAATAAATGAAGAATAAAAATTCAAGTACTTTAAGTATTAGATCGTATACCTGTCCTCTTCTTTCTCTTCTGTTTAGATTCGCACAAACAGGTAAAGTGATATTTATAATAATAAATAAAAGTTTAGAGTGTTTCCAGTACCCCTGACGCATGCTTTCTGCGTTTCTGGCTCAGATGCCTTCATCAGAGGGGAGACCTGTCAGAAATAAAGAAAACAAATGCTACATGAGTTTGATTAAATGAAGAAACAGTTGTACAATATTTATTTTAAAGACCTGGGTTTATTAAATGTAAGAACGAGCGGGAATTGAGATAAATATATAATTATGGAAAAGTAGAGCTTTTTTTAATGTTGTTAACAATTATACCTTTGTAACATTAGATTATCTTTAAAAATGAAAATCATCTCTCTCTCTCTCTCTCTCTCTCTCTCTCTCTCTCTCTCTCTCTCTCAACAATTATAGTATGTAAAATACTTTTGACTCTTTTTTTTCAAATGCACATTTTACTTGGTGATAAATGAAAACAACACATGTAGCTAAATTACAGAGATTTTTTTAAGTATATTCTTTCCGAAATTAATTTAAATCTCTTTCCCCAAAACGTATGAATACATTTATAACAGTGAAAGAAGTGGGTCAATTTTCTCCTGTATATAGATATGTCCAGTTTCTTCCATAATTTTAGTAAGAAAATTGCAAGGTTATTCGATTGGCACAACCACTGAAGATATCTAAAGTACAGCCAGTGAATAAAATCGTTTGTTACCAAAGTATGCAGAGTAAGTTTTCTAATGAAGACTAATGATCTTATTTGTGTGTGTGTGTGTGTGTGGGTGGGTGTGTGTGTGTGTGTGTGAGGGTGTGTGTGTTTGTAAACCCTGTCAATTGGACACGTGCTTTAGACGGCACACGTTTAAATGAACACGGAAAAATCCAAATGAACACGAAATGGTGGTGTTCAGTTGGATTTTATCATAAATCAACTGGAAAATGTCCTAGGATGCATCCCATTTCAAAAAAATGAAGTGTTAATTTGACCGGATGCATGAGATCTGTGTAATGAGTGTGTATAAGATGACCACGGATCCATCATTTTTTCTTCTCGGCGAGACTTACACACATTGCGAGTGCGCATGCTCGTTACTCAAATGACGTCGTAAATGACATCACAATACAGTACCCGTTTCACACTTAGTCATGTACATGAGGACGAAGTAAACTTTGTAAAAGGTAAGTAAAAAATCTGTTAATAAATAAATGAAAAATTTTATGTATTAAATATGGCCTATGAATTAATGAGTAAAGATGTGTGTCCATTATGACATTACGGCATTATTGTCTACTCAATATTTTTCCTACGGTATGTATACATGTATATGCTGTATAGTTACAATGTGCATCGTTGCATGATTGCAGTATAAATGGTTAAAACCAATATACTAAAAGTTATTATTATTAATGTTAGTAAAAACATAAAGAAATTTTTTTCTATATCTACATGTATGTCTCTGGGAAGGTAAACACGTTCCGTATTGGCATTTGTTGTACTCGCGGAGAGAAACTATTTCTGCATCTAATATTTCAATTTCATTGAATCAACGTTGATCTTTTGCAATGTGTAGCAATATATATTGTCAAAAATTTTAAATGTTTTCTTGCGTTTCGCATCTTGTTTATGTGTCATGTCAAGTTCGAAGGTTTCGTATTAAAAACGAAAGTAGAGTCGGTCACGCCATGTGTTATGGGCAGGGGAAACGTTCAGTCTGCCTGGGTTATATATAGGTACGTGGGCTGCTAAAATCATTGTTAATATTGTGTACACATTAAGCTGTCAACTAAAAAAACACATGTACTTCTGTGGCGTGAATATTAGAAATAATTTCTGCACATTTAAATTATGAAAGGGGAGGGGGGGGGGCAGCTGTTTACTTCTCCCAGGGACATAATGATATAATTGTTAAGCATGTATAGGTCCCTGCTTCAACGTGATCTTCTAGCCCTGACAAACTGAAGATATAGTGCAGCTTATAATATAAGTTGCTATTTATGTCAAAGACATGCTGTGCATTTAGACAGTGACATGCCCTAATTTTAATGTACAAAGATTTCAAAGTATGAGAATTTAAAGATGGATACTTGTCATTTTATTGACATGCACTCATTATTGCATTGGGACAATTTTGAGAGAATATATGTAAATATAGCTGTGACAGGGACCTATATACTAGTATATAGGTCCCTGACTGTGATGATTCATGAAAATGATGCGACTTCTACTAAGTTACAGTCATTAAAGAATATTTTCCTATTTATTTATCATCCTGGAATTCATGTTTTAAAACTGATGTTATTATTATAATACATTTCAGGTAGATTCATTGATTTCGGATCAGAAAATTATCAATGTTCATGGATTCCCAGAACACAGCAGGGAGAAGTTTATGGTATGAATGCAATTATATAATATTCATTTAATAGTGAAAATTAATTTCAAAATGCCCAAGCTGGTCTCAATCAACTTAAGGCTGCCTTGTCGGAAGGGTTGAATAATATCCCTGTTGGAAGGATAAGCACACTGAATGGGAGAATCAAGGCTGTAACAGATGCACGAGGGAGACATGTGAGATAATGAGATAATGAGAATTTTCAATTTTCACTTTTGGGGGGTACCGTCATATGAGGTTCAATAACTCATGAATTATTGGAGAAAATCAAATGAGATTTTGGTTACATGTTTATTAAAGATGAAATTTAATGTTAGATAAGAAAACTGAAAAATACGTCTGAAACATATATAACCTTACTTCACCTAAAAAGTTTACCATGCGCTTCTTTTTCCTTTCAGTATATTTCGCTTTCTTCCAGTATAAATTATGATCGTTCGTACAAGTTTAAAGTGTGGGCTTATAACAATTCAGATTTCAAAAACTAAACTCTCGAAAATTGTTATTGGATTAAATGCACCAACGAAGCTGAATCTATAGACCTTGCAGCTGAAATTTTTACATTGAAATTCCTTTCCTGTGTTCATGAATGTTCACATGAACAAACTATTACCGTTCCTTCTTCGTGACAAGCCATGGTTTGATTCAGTGCTACGTGAAGCAAAAAGAATTAGAAATCGTCTTAGTAATAAAGCACTAAAAACTAAAAAAAGATTCCGATTGGTCCACATATAGAAAGGACCGAAATTTAGTTAACAATATGAAAAAGCATGCAATATCAAATTATTATGACAATATAGAAACCTACTTGGAAGATTCAAGTAATATAACAATAAGTTGTATTGGAAGTTGATGAAAGACTCATTTAATATGAAATTATCTTACGAAATACCACCAGTACAAATATTTACTGACCGAGGTTTAAGACAAGTGGCTTATTCAGACTTTAATAAGATTGAAGCATTAAATTCATATTTTTCATATATTTCCTCTATTGATGATTCTAATGAAACACTGCCAAACATGTATGTGGTGCATTATGCAATATTATCATTGATGAACACGAAGTATTAGATAATATATCAATACTTTCCTTAAACAAAGCTATTAATCCTGATTGTACTAGTCATAAATTGTTAAAATTTACTCTTTTTTACTGTTGTTAATCCACGTACTATGTTATTTAGTAAGTCTTTGTCAGAAAAGGTTTTTCTGTCTTTTTGGAAATTAGCTGATGAATTTTATTCCTCTTTTTTAAAAAGGATGGCCCATCTGTGGTTTACAATGTAAAAAATATTCTAATGCAAGAATTAATCTTTTCAATCGCTTGTTCATGTTTGAATTGGACACTATTGATATAAGTCTATTATTATGTGGTGATGTTGATTTGCCTTTACAGATAAATAACAGTATTTTTGCTGCTGTTCGTAAATTTATTGAAGAAACATGTAGATTCTCTTACTTGATATGTTATTTAAGGTTAGTCGACACGTTCCTCAAAAATATATAATTTTCCCCAAGAATATGTCATTGAAGTATTGCTACTTAAACAAGTTTCCTCACAAAAAAATTGAGGTACCTTACCAGGCATTTCTGCAAGATACCAGCAGTTGGTGTTTCTTATTGCCTGATGCCACGTGCGTCAGGCAGTATTAGGATTAATTAGTTTTCCATGGTCCGAAACTAAGCAATCATTCTTAATGAACTAGATTTTGTGCAAGCTGATTTGCATCGGAATTTGTTACCTGCATTTAAACAAATACAGATTGCAAAAAAAAGAATCATATTACTGATGCAAAATAATGATGTGTTTAATTCCTCCAGTTTTTTTTAATGCACATGTTTATTCTTTGCGATTATCTGTACGGACATGTCCGTGTAACATTTTGTCTGCATTTCTAAACTACTGGATCAGTCCATTTGTTTCTACGAAAAGGGTGAGCAATCATTTCGCGCCAAATGTCAGAAGTAAATTATCTTGGCGCTTTTTTTTCTGGAATTGTTCTATTGAATGGGTTTGATAACCTCTATGGAAATAAATAAAGTTTGTTCTTTTAACCTGATTCTTAAGCTTCAGATATTTTTTATTAACTGCAAATTTTATCTCATTTTTTAAAAGAACACATTGTATATGGGCAGGCAACACTAAAGCAGTGGATGTTACTATTTTGTTTCCCAGTGATCCATTAAATGGACTAGTCCAATCATAAACAAACTCCCTCCACCTAGTAAAGTCATCTCTTCTTGATTCAGTCTGTTTTCCATCATTTCTTTCATTATTACATTTATTAATAATGTACGTTACAAGGTTAGGTTTGTACTCGTAGAGGAATGGGCTTCACTCCCGTAAGGTTCTTAGTAAAGAATCGGCAAAATGAAGAAGACATCATGATCAGTACTGGTTTTCATTTCATAAAAAAGCACGTTATTATAGAAGAAACGAGAAAGGTCCTAAAATTGATGGAAAAGAAAAAAATTAAAACTGTACATAAAGATGTGTTTTAAACTCATTTATAATAGATGTATGTAGACCATCATTGCGTGAGTTGTGTCCGGGGGGGGGGGGGGGGGGGAGGGGGTATTAGTATCATGTTTTGCTCTAGCTATAAAGTGTACAGGCCATTTACTTTGAGTCCTAGAGCAGCATTGAAATATTTTCGTCTCAAATACTTCAAGACAACTTTCCCTGTTAAAACTGTTCATAAT